TTTGAAAAAGCTCCTCTGAGGCTTTATAGTAAGGTGACCAACTTTTTTACAATGAAAAGGAGGACACAAATAAATTGAAGAAAAAAATATCGTAAATAAAAGAAACATTTTATTCATTGCAACAATAATACAGACAACTTGCATGCGCAAAGTTTGCTAGCCGGGTGTTTTGGTGCACTCAGCAGCAATTCCTATTGGCTTTCGAAAGCCAATAGCGCGAGTAGCACAGCTCATGCAAAAGTTGAAAAAAAACCCATCAAAAAAAGGTGCCGGAACGCCGTTCTATGAGAAAAAAAAAAAGCCCTGCAGATTAGTCTTCAAATATCGAAAAGGAGGACATGTAGGAGGACACTTTTTGAGGGAGGACAGAACTTACAAAAGGAGGACTGTCCTCCCTAAAGCAACTTGAATCATACCTGGAACCAAAAATGACAGTTAGTGCAGTTTGTGAAGCAGAGTGTTACATGGACATAAAATGCATGTCTCTTACTGCCTACATTCTGGAATAGATGAAGCTTCCAAGAGGTCTTCAAGGGCAGCTCCATGTACTGTGCATTACAGTAGTCAAGCTCTATAAGTAATACTAACAGAAGCCAGTTTGGAGACTGTAAAGTGGAGAAATGCTGGCTTAGTGTATGGAATGAGAAACAACATCCAAGAGCCATTTGGAAGCAGCCTGCAAATGTCTTTATTGTTGAAGTGTCAGAAATGCTATAAATAAAGAGCAATTAAAGCTCTCTGGCACCTGTGCAGGAGGCTCTTCTATTGAAAAAGAGGAGGAAAGTTCACAGAGTGTTGTCAATTTTTTTTGGTTATTTTGCCTGGCTTTTAGAGGGGCTTGCAAATGTTTGCATTTTCTTGAGCAAACCCAGAAACCCAGCATAAAAGCTTTCCAAAGAAAAAAAGGCTATCTTGTAAATAAGAATGATCATGGCAAAAAAATATTCCTTTTTAAAAACAATGTGACAAAAAGCCTAAGTACAAAAAAAGAGTTTGGCAGACAGAGAACATAAATTTTAACGTTTGGTTGGTAATGATCATCCAGAGAATTTTAAATAATTTTAATAATATCTTACATAAGTGATCTGGTTTATATGTTAATGCTTGAACAAAATTAGAGACTAGATTGTATTGCAGAGAAAATGGTCCAAGAAAGAAAGATTACCTCAGGGTTATCTTTATAAAAATCCAAAATGGTGAGTAAAATGTCACTATCTGAGGGAATATCTTCATCTTCTTAGTGGAGTCAGACTGTTATTTTGTCCAATGATGTGATATTTTCTATAAATGATATCAAAGATCTAGCTAGCAAATTAGAAGCTCACTTATTTGTTAGGTGACTTAATTAACAAATCTGTACTTTAATTATACAAGATATAACAGGTCTAAGTGAACAAATTGTTGTGCAATGAAATTTAAGATTTGTATACATTTAGGAGATTGTCACAGTATTGTTAAAATCAGTAAAAATCACCCTGCATCTCCACCAAGTAAAAAGTAAAAGGACTGTTTTGTAATGAAATGTGGTTGTACAGGTAGTCCTTGGCTTAAGACTACAACTGAGCCCTTAAGCGAGACAGTTGTTAAATGAATTTTGCCCCATTTTATGACCTTTCTTGCTACAATTGTTAAGCAAATCACTCTATTTGTTAAGTTAGTAACATGGTTGTTAAGTGAATCTGGCTTCCCCATTGATTTGCTTGTCGGAGGATCACAAAAGGTGATCACATGATCCTGGGACACTGCAGCCATGGTAAATATGAACCAGTTGCCAAGCAACTGAATTGTGAGCACATGACCTTGGGGGTGCTGCAATGGTTGTAACTTTGAAAAAAAAAATCATGTCACTTTTTTCAGTACTGTTGTAACTCTGAATGGTCACTAAATGAATGGCTGTAAGGACTACCTGTATGGCCCTCACCAGATTACATGGGTAGCCTCTTGCCCCGAATAGACTAAGTATGTTTGTTTATACAGGCATATAGTCCTATGTTCTGTATAAACTTCATCTTCCATACTAACATTTGCCATATTGCTATAGCATTTTTCCTTTTTCCATTTGCTTTCTGAAAATTTGTAAGAGTTGAAGTTAATCAGCTGGAAGCCTTTTAAAGTGTTGAATCACAGGGATAGTTAATGTAACAGGCTGAAATGGCGACCTGAAAAAGCCAGCCCTTTGTTTGTGAATTCCGAGGAAGATTATCTAAAAGTGGCCTTGATGGATTTGAGGTGAGAGGAAGTACAAAATGCCTTCTTTAGCCATTAGTTAGCACCATGAGATCTGAACACATTGCCTGATGGGTTGAGATTCATACTGAGTGCAAATAAATCCCTAAAGGTTTTTAAAATGAAAATTTTGAGCAGACGCTTGGCAGCAAATGGTGCACTTAAATCTTTCCTCATCGTCATCAGATGCAAGTTATTTGTGCTTTTCCCGTCACTTGTCCCATGGATGTCAGTTTCTTTATAAACACGGTGGACAAGGCACTCAGAACTCTCGGGGGGGGGTGGTAGAAAAAAGCACAGGTAAATATTGAACAGACCAACATGGAAAGGGTGAAGCCAACCCAAAACTGTGTGGAATGACCACTGGATGCTAGGCAGATGGAAAGATAGAGAACTCCTTTGTGAGGCACAGAGGAAAACCTTCCTTCATACATTATGCCTTTGTCTGCAATGCAATTCCTAGTTTCCTACACAGAACAGAACAGAATTCTTTATTGACCAAATATGATTGGACACACAAGGAGTATGGTTGAGTTACTGCTTAAACTCAAGGCTGAATTAAACATGACTTCTCCCTTCTCTCCCATTCCTTCACTCAGACTGGGAGGATGTCAAAGAGCAACTTTGCCAGATTACCTTCTAGTTAACGGATATTTTCTGATGGGCCACTTCTAACAGCCATTTTGTGAATAGGCAACAAGTCCCAAACCTTGGCAACCCTGACTTGTTTTCAAAGTGCCCTTGTGCGCACAACAGTTGCCTGCCTCTTGCCTAGACTGTTTCTGATCGGGATGGGCTGCCAAGTGATCTTGATTATTTAGTATTTAGCTGAAAAACACAATTTGTGCTAGAGATGCTGCTTAAATTTCCTGTGAAATTCTGGAAATGTGGGAAGTCCCTGATGTGTCCCTTTTACTCCAGAAGATTAAAATCCTAGTTTGCAGTAGCATTTCTGTGGGAGGATATAATGTTTAGAAGTCTTTTGTATGGTAGCATTTGTGATACTTGATGAAGCAGTTTATAGTAAGGTTATAAGATCAGAACACCTTATGTGAGGGAGATTGGCAGTTCTTAACCATGACAAAATAAGTAAATAACATTTCATAACATCACCTATTGTAGGGCTTTGTGTGATATAAAATACTTAACACTGAATATGTACTTAATACAATGGATTAGGTGTAATTTCCACAAAATAGAGATAGACTTGTGGGATATAAATTCCCCAGCTCACATTTACCAGCTCATCTTAAACCTCAACCTACATTTATATCTCTGATAGTCATAATTATATTGCAAGAGAATGTTTAAATGCTTTAGAAAGTTTAAAAAAAAAATAGAATTCAGTTCATTTACTTATGGGAATCCAGAACCCTTATTCAAAGAATTATCTAACTTTAATTAAAAATTGCAAGCATGGCACTTCCTTGACATGAATGCATTAACAAATTAGCATTAACGTATGCGAATGATTTTTTTAAAGGGAAATTATCAAAAGGGTAAATAAAACATGAGAAACGCTTTTCTTTTCAAGGTTATAGACCAGTTTTCTCAATCTTGGCAACTTAAGCAAGATTAATGCTGAGTGGGGAATTCTGGGAGATAAAGTGTGCATGTCTTAAAGTTGCCAAGATAGTGAACCCCTGCGTAGACCTTCATCTTTAATTTCAAGTGTTTGCTTCAGAGTTATTACTAAATAACGTTTTTATACTGCTAAGTATATCCATGCATCAATTCATGCAAATTATATCCACGCCATTAAAGGAAAACTATCAGAAATGAAAACTAAGAAAATACATCCTGCCCTGGGCCACCTGAACCTCCAGGGTCACGTTCCACCAAGCAGGCCCAGCAACAGGTGAACTATAGTAGCTGGCTGGGGAAATCCGGGCATTGAAGTCCACAAATCTTAAAGTTGCCAGGTTTGGAGACCCCTGACCTAGATTATGCAAAGCCCTAAAATAACTAAATCTGTGCCTAGATTAATACGTGTAATTGAATTGAATTGAACTGAAAGTATAACTTAAATGATTTAGCTCTTGGGTAGTGAGAATTGCCTTATCAGTGGATGTTTCCAGAGAAGTCCTGGGTCTCATTTCTTCTCCTCATGTAATGTTATTAGGGCAGTCTAGAGCTCCCATCCAATCTCAACAATATAGTCGCTTTCTGATGTTTCAGTTCGTCAGCTATGCAGTCCTTATCTATAGCTTGATTATATGAATTTGTATGACCCTTAGATGGCAACCAATAAATATAAAGTCTAATTTTGTCCTCCTCTAAAGTCTAACTCTTTGTGTGATTAATCAAAAAGTCTAACAATCCTCCCACAGTAACCCAGAGAGAGTCCCTGACTTATGACTATTTGATTAACGACAGTCCAACGTTACAATGAGGCTGAAAAAGGTGAGTTAGCTCCAATAGTAGTTTAGGTGCCTTTTGCCATTTTATGATTTATAACTTAGAACACAGAATATAGAATAAAAGAGTTGGAAGGGACTTCAGAGGTCATCTAATCCAACTCCCTGCACGAGCAGGAGAGTCACTCTATACCATTTCAGACAGATGACTGTCTAGTGTCTTCTTGAAAGCCTACAGTGATGGGGCACCCACAACCTCTGAAGGCAAGCCATTCCACTGGTTGATTGTTCTCACTGCTAGGAAATTTCTCCTTCGTTCTACGTTGCTTCTCCCCTTGATTAGTTTCCATCCACTGGAATATAATACTTATTATAATTTATATATGATTTATAACTTACATATTTCTTCTTCCTTAGTGTCTAAAACAATACACGCAATTGGCCATCCGTGAGGGGTGTGGTTCTCCCATCACTTGTCCAGACATGGTCTGTTTAGGCCATGGGATGCTACAAGAAACAGAGGTATTTATATTTAGTCCTCTCTCATTGCTTTTAATCTTTGTCATTCATTTACATAATGAATATATTAGATTGTTTTCCCCCTTAATTACCCTAATGACTACTTGGCAGAAAGCCCACTTCAAGGAGAAATTAGAAACAAGCAGATGGTTTTTCTCTTGTTTTCCCTTTCCTGGGGAAATGTTTACTTGGCATCCAGACAGTCTCAGAATTGCTTGCTTGCAACAAGAACATTCTCAATTTGAATATCCCTAGTTCTTTGTTAGTGATAGATTCTGGAAGATGTACTATGGCATTCAGAATTGTAAAACACAAATGGTAGAAATGTTACATGTCGCTTGAGAAGGATTTTTTTTGGGGGGGGGATGGAGGAAATGGTGCTTGTATATACTTGGAAGGGTATATATGAACCCCAAGTGCAGTTCATTGGATGTCCGAAGTGTTATGTATACCCCAACTATGCAGTTCTTGCTAATAAAAACTCAGGATAAAAAAAATACCACATGGCCAATTTATATTAAATCTCTTCATGGAACATTAATGCCCATGGTTCTTATCATACCTATTGTCATTATACGAATTATTTGTATGTTGCTGTTCCAAACGGAATTTTCTCAGGATAAATTACCACAGGGGTGTCAAACTACCAGCCCGCAGGCCGGATGCATCACAAAACCGCACCCACCCCATTGCCGGCAATGGGGAAAAAGTTCCGATAGGTCGCGCGACATCACATGACGTCGCGAGTTTGACATGTCTGACTTACCAGATGGCAAAATTTGCCAATTTTAAATTAAGATGATATATAATAGGATTTAAAATGTCCAAGGATTATCAGTTGGTTAAAAGGTTAGGAGCAGTCTAGACATTTCATGTTAATATAATTCATTAAAAGGTTTGATAAAATAATGGAACATGAGATATCCTTCCTTGGAAGGTGTTGCAATGGAATATGTGGATGACCTTGGGGAACGAAGGGAACAAAGACCTGAAATAATAATAAGCTTTCGGCATTTTGAATGCAGAGAAAATGCAGTGCTAAAGTATGCATGAAAATCGTAGTAGAGTGTTCCAAGATTATTGTTTGTAAAGCTCCTGAAATCTAAGCTTCATTTCAGTTAGCCAGGCAAGAGGGCACTTGAGGGTATACATCTAATGGGCCATTAATGTTTTCTTTTGTATGCAACCCTAAATATTGAATGAATAAACAATGAGAAAGACATTTAATGGGCCACGCATGATGGGAAATGCTGGAGTTTGTTATAGGTTTTGTTCCTTATGTATCTACACTGATATATTATAGTGACGAGTAATCATTCTGACCAGAATAGATGCTCTTAAAAGCAGCGAATGATCTATGCTGGGCCAAAGTTTTAGTAAGCTTTTACCTCTTTTAATGAATAAACAGTATGGGTATATTAGTCTTTGATACTATAGAGTACTTCATATGCTGTTCTGATTATATCTCTATCTGAGCTACTGTATATCTCAGCTTTATCTTGTTGTCCACCAAACATGTTACATTGATAGCCTTGGTGGCTTTTGATCATAGTTGCTCGGAAATACTATATTTGTTAAACAGGTTTATTTATTACATCACCATCAAAGCTGACACCAGCCAGAGCATAGAACAACTGAAAGAAATAATGCAAGAACAGAACTGACATGGAGAGACGTGGTCCATACAATTTCCAAGAGTTTGACACAACTGAATGGATAATATCATCACGATCATATATGAGAGAGAGAGAGATGTCTTACACATTATAACACATGGCGTGGGCAAGGAGGTATTCTCTAGGGTGCAGAGAGTTTAAGAGGGAAGGACATCCACTCTTGTCCCTGTCCTTTTGGTATAAAATTTTCACAATCTGAAAAAGGCTTGTTAGAACAATTAGCAGGACTTTCAAGATAATTTCTTGTCAGGGTCCTCAGTTAAAGGCAGATGCTAAGCATACTCACTTGAATGTACACTTCATTTCAGATTTTCATGCTAAGAACCTGAAGATCTCCAAGGAAACCTGTCAAATAAAGATATTTGGAGTGGATACATACATGGTACCCATATCTCTTCCCTAGAGGTCTTGACCTATCTTTAAAAGTTTGCCTCAAACTGTTCTCCTTTTTAATAGTCAGGGGCTTGCCACCTAGAAATTATCCAAGCATGGAAGTCTTTATACGCTTATACATGCAGTTACATGTTTATGTTATTTGGCCACTAGATTAATAAGGTGCACTGAAATTCAGTAGTATTTCTTGGCTTAGAAATCAGGGGTCTTCAAACTTGGCCTTTTTATGACTTGTGGACTTCAACTCCCAGAATTCCTCAGCCAGGCATGCTGGCTGAGGAATTCTGGGAGTTGCACAAGTCATAAAAGGGCCAAGTTTGAAGACCCCTTGCTTAGATGGTAAAACCATTTTTTTACTTTAAAAGATCTAGATTAAAACAGCCTAGAGATCAACAAAAAGAGGTACCGTCTGCTAACTTGCATTAGAACTAAGAAGAATGAGACTTCTATGAAAACTTTAGTTGAAAAAGACCTCTTTTTACTGCATATGTGAATGTACTATAACGGTGGCTCAGTGACTGAGAGAATATAAACCATTTAATTTACTTTCTAGTTAACTCCAGAAAGAATAGCCCAAGACTGTAAATGACTAGGAATGATGGAAGCGGTCGAACTAGTTGTAGCTTCTAATCTGGTTGTATGGTTATTATCCTTAGGGTCCTTTAATGATATTTTTTTAAAAAAGTCATCTCTGTATATTCCACTAAACAGGCACTATTCAGTGCCCAAATGATAAATACAAATTACTATGGGAAAGTATGCAGTGCAGCTTTATGGTGTGGGTCTTCAAACCCCAGATTTCCACTTGAAGATCTAAGCTTTTAAAATTCCTTCTTTGCTGAAGTAATTTGTTGGCTGCGGAGACCTACAAGAAGTTCTAATATATGCACTCCAGCTATTGTGAGGAGTGAACTGGAAGTAGTCCATTTGAAGTACATCTACAAGCCCCATTTAATGTCCTAGAGTAAGTTGGTCAACAAGGATAACATTGTTTTGAGTGTCTTTCCAAGGCCTACATTACCCACTAGAGCAGAAAAATAATTTCCACTCCATATCCGTTTTCCTGAAACTTGAAATAGCATTAATTGGTTACATAGGTTTTCTTGGAATAAATTCTGTTCAAAAACAACTATAATAAGCCTTTGGAACACTTCCATGGCAACTGAAACAGGATTTGAATAGTACTCGGTGCCTAAAAATAGTAACATAACTCCTATTTAGTTTGCTTATCCTGTCTTTTCATAGAATATAGCCGGGTGATTAAGTCTCCTTCTGAGCGCTGTTCATTTTCTTTTAAATTTGAGGGGAATAATAGGAATTTGAAGTAGATGGAGGATAATTGTCTGCAGGGGAAATGAGACAGCAAGTGAATGATGAGTGACATTTAAAAGACAAGCCAGATTGTTTTTTTCTACCTTTATGTTTGAGTACATTTTTAAAAAATTTGTTGGCAGTGCTAGGAAGGGATAAAGTGTCTTTGTAATGGCCCTGCAATACCTCCTGAGCATTTATTTTGGTGCTGCCTCGCTTGAGCAGCAGGCAAATAGGTGGCAGCTATAAGGACAGGTAGTCCTCTACTTACAACCACAATTGAGCCCAAAATTTATGTTGCTAAGTGAAACATTTGTTAAGTGAGTTTTGCCCCATTTTACAACTTTTCTTGCCACAGTTGTTAAGTGAATCATTGTAGTGGTTAAGTTAGCAACACAGTTGTTAGATGAATTTGGCTTCCCCATCGACTTTGCTTGTCAAAAGTTTGCGAAAGGGGATCGCATGACCTAGGACACTGCAACCATCATAATTATGAACCAATTGCCAAGCCTCTGAATTTTGATCATGTGACATGGGGTTGCTGCAACGGTCACAAGTGTGAAAAACGGTCATAAGTCACGTTTTTTAGTGCTGCTGTAACTTTGAACAATCACCAAATGACCTGTTGCAAATCAAGGATTACCTGTATAAAACAGGGACGCTCATTCTCATGGGACTTCTTGCCTTCAACCCATCCGAATACAACTTTATTTGGCAAGTTGCACTGCACTGATAGATATGTGAATCGGTGTGAAGCAACAGAAAAGTTAAGGTTGAACTATTCAAATAATTCAAGGAACCTGCTGAAGAAAGAAAAAAAAATTATCTTGTTTATATATTCTGGTAAACCATAACTGGCTTCATCATGGTTTGAAGAAGACCCCCTGATTGGCTTGGTTCTCACATTGTACTAATCCCTAAAACCAAGGTATATAAATCACAATAGCTGAGTTCACAAAACATGCTGAACTGAAAATCTGCCAATTTATCAGATGCCACCTGCCTTCTCCTCTAGCATCTTATCTTACAGAATGACAACTGCATATCTCTAACCTTTTTCTGAGCAAGTCTATATATTTGGGGGAAGAACAGGACTACAGGTGCACATTATTTCTATTTTCCATGAAAACCTTATGGGTACATTTTTGGAAATAAAGCTGATGAAGGAGACTGGGTCTTTGCTTCGCAGACAAGGACCATGGCAAGTATCAAGGAAGAATATTAGTATAGCAACAGATCACTTTGGAGAACCCAGCCTTAGAGGAACATACGAATCCAACTATGATATTGATTGAAGTGTGTAACATTTAGCAAATATGGACAACCAATTACTAAATACTAATACATATAATTAAGACATATGCCCAATCAATAATATAAAGCCTAATGGACATCTAAATTCCATGATATAAATCCAGAATAATAGTGCAGCAGTGCATATTTTATGAAGAATTGCTACAAAGCTATCACACAACCGTTTGTATTTCAAGTACAAAGATGCTGCTGCTGTTTTTCTAGCAAATATACAAATCATTTAAACATCCACTAAGGAACTTTTTCTTTTCCCGTCCGTGTATATGCTCCTTTGCCAGACAGAACTCATTTGCACCATACCAAAGGTGT